GGAAAGAGAGGAATTTTGATGAAAAAACTCTTGTTTGGTTCAGAAGTTTGGAGGAATCCGGAGGAAAAATCACGGACAAAATCCCTTCCCTACAACTTTTGCCTCCATTCCAATATTCAGGGGATTTTATTTTCTCACCCTTTGAAGAAAACATTCTGTAAGAAACTGACATTTTATATGGATTTGATGTCTTTTGAAACCCATTGTCCCCAATACTAAGAACACTTGCTTGCTTTACAATTCAGTTTTTCACATCTAAAGCAAGTACTACCACCACACCTAGTTCATGTGAATTTGTATTTTGTAAAACATCAGTTTCAAAAGCTTTAGAGAGGACCAAGTACTTGTTACCAAAATTTGTTAGGCTATTCATCAATCCAGACAATCTAAAGAACAAGTGAACAACAAAAATAACAATTTAAGAATCACTTGATCAAACTGGAAATACCTCAAATACATGATCCAAAGGACAGAGAAAAGGTTGTCTAGTCATGGACCCCTCCAAAATGCCGGGATGGGGAAACCATAGCCTATCAATCCTGCACCACAGTGGAGGCATGACCTAAATATATACACATAAAGAACTGAATCAAGATCAAATTATATAATTTATGAAGTGAAAATGCACTACAAAAGAGAAACCATCAATCTTAAATCACTAAGAACAACCAAACCAGATGCCTCAGGTGTAAAAGAAGTTGACCAGATTTCTCAACCATAGCAACATGTTAGGCCATAAAGATGGTTTATTACATTTTGATTTTGGATGGTAGGACTGCTAGCACCTTTAATCATGGGAAAGTCAATTCCATGCTTCTTTTTTCTACACCAACAATCTATTGCCCTTTTTTAAACAGAATCTTATTTATTAAAAGGTAGGAACTGATAGGGAAGAAAAGGGGTGGGGTGGGGGTGGTGTAGAAACCAGCAGTGGAAATATGCTTAATAAGAAATCAATTTTTTTGAAGACCAATTCCATTATGCATATATTTTTAAAGGACTAGATTGAGGGTTTTTCATCTTTCCAACAGCAATTCTACCAATAGTAGTGCTAAGAACATGAATCTAGTACCCAACCATTGTACAGGAAGATGCAATAAAAAACAAATCATAATTTTATAACCCTAAATCATGTATTGACGTTGGTCAATATATGTGAAGATCAACATAATGCAAATGGTAGTAGCTTATGATATTCAGTAGATATTGCTTCTAAATCAAATAGAAAAATGACAAATAAAATTTATTGCAGGATTTCAGGAACAAATAGGAAACTTTATTTATGCAAAAATCGGTACCAAATGCTAATAACAACAATTACAGTACATATGATCTTATGATTTCAATAAGTGACAACTGAAATTCAGTTCAGGAAACATACTGTTAAATTTATGAGGTTTTCCTTTATTTGAATTTTGAATAAATGTTAGATAGGATATTTATTACTGTCACAACTTTATCTTTTATATTTTGTTTTGATGAGAAAAATTAGGGATTTTAAATTGATTATATGGCTATACATAGACATATGAATTTTTATGGCAATTTTTCATCTTCAATTTTAATTTCAATTAGTCTACAAGATCTATTTTTCTATTTTTTTTACCAAATATTTCCAACACGTACAATCATTTTTTTTCTGCCACATAAAGTAAATGAACATGCATTGATTTGGTTTGCATTAAGCAGACAATAAAACAGAAATACGCAATTGCAGAGTTAAATAAAGTAACAAGCTAATTCAGAATTCAGATCTTAACGATTTTACTAAATTGTGAACAGTCTACCCTAACAAAAGAATGCCAAACAAGCTTAATAATAATGAGTAATATTGTGCCAAAAAATAAAGTTAATTGCAACTTTCATGTAATTGCTAATGGTTGATAACTTAACATGACTCGTTAGAAAAGTTAATTAACAGTGCTTGAAAGATCTGATACGAGACATTTGCAATTGCACACGTAATATAATAAGCATTATATGATCCCAGAAAATAGCTCTCACCAGTGTTCTGTTCAAAAGGGAAGCAATTGCAAGTGCTGTCCTTATCTGTTTCATCTGCGGACAAATTCACGCACAACATAAATTACGATATGTAACATTATAATTTTCATTGTAAATGCAGAAGTGAAAAGGACCAGGTCGATACTTGCATACTTGGTAATTAACAAGTGTAAAATGTGATTCGATGGTGTGTTTCCCACTTAGCAACAAGCTTTTTGGAATAGATGGCTTAAATGACAAGAAACCCCCTGCAAAAGTTTCTTACAAGGAGTCAACATATCAACCATAGGCAAATTATGAGAATAAAGCATTGAAACATTAGGTGTCAACTTTTGGTTTTCAGCATCAAAGTTATGAATATTTGGGGCTAGCTTGATGGCGGATAAAGTAGAAATCTCTAAATGCATGGTGTAAGTAACAACTAATAGCTTGTTGGGTTCTACAT